GCCAACTGAGCTAATAAGGATTGTCCTTACTCAAAAAAAAAATCGTTTTATATACATTAGCTTGCAGACCATATCACGTGATCAATATTTTTTTCAAGTAATATTGAAATTTGTATTCGTACTCTGTAAGACACGAAAGTAGAGAACTTCATTAAGATATAAGAAAACATGTCAAACGAGGACAAAAGAGTCGAATCTGATGCAGCTGAGCTACTTTCTTCATTGTCTATCGACAAGAAGGAACAGACTGATAATGCTGCATCAAAAGTTGATGCAAAAGAAGATAAATCAAAAGATGAGACCATAGAAACAATCAAACCAGCGGTTGAATCTAAAGATGAATCCAAACCAGAAGATACAAAAGATGAAGTAAAAAGCGAAGAAAAAGAATCTGAGAGCAATTTAATAAACTCAACCTACGAAGTTAAGGTCAAACTCGCTGATTTGCAAGCAGATCCAAACTCTCCGTTATACTCAGTTAAATCATTTGAAGAATTAGGATTGAGACCTGAATTGTTAAAGGGATTATATGCTATGAAGTTCAACAAGCCATCCAAGATTCAAGAAAAGGCCTTGCCATTGTTAATTTCTAATCCTCCTAAGAACATGATCGGTCAGTCTCAATCAGGTACCGGTAAAACTGCTGCGTTTTCATTAACCATGTTATCGAGGGTGGACGAAAGTGATCCAAACACTCAATGTATTTGTTTAGCACCTGCAAGAGAATTGGCTAGACAAACTCTAGAAGTCATCACAACAATGAGTAAATTTACTAAGATTACAACACAATTGATCGTCCCAGATGCGATGGAGAGAGGTCAATCTACTTGTGCTCATGTTTTAGTAGGTACTCCAGGTACATTATTAGACTTGATCAGAAGAAAACTCATAAATACCTCTAAAGTGAAAGTGTTTGTGTTGGATGAAGCTGATAATATGTTGGAATCACAAGGTTTAGGAGACCAGTGTGTTAGGGTTAAAAGAACTCTTCCAAAGACAACTCAATTGGTTTTATTCTCTGCTACGTTCCCAGATGAGGTTCGTAAATATGCTGAAAAATTTGTTCCAAATGCTAATTCATTAGAATTAAAGCAAGAAGAATTGAATGTTGAAGGTATTAAACAATTATACATGGATTGTGATTCAGCAAATCACAAATTCGAAGTCTTAAGTGAATTATATGGTTTATTAACTATTGGTTCTTCTATTATTTTTGTTAAGACAAAGGATACTGCAAACATTTTGTATGCCAAAATGAAGAAAGAAGGTCACAAATGTTCAATTTTGCACGCTGGTTTAGAAACTAGCGAAAGAGATAGATTAATTGATGATTTCCGTGAAGGTAGATCTAAAGTTTTAATTACTACAAATGTTTTGGCAAGAGGTATTGACATTGCATCGGTTTCTATGGTTGTTAATTACGATTTACCAGTTGACCAAAAGGGTGCACCTGATCCTTCCACTTACTTACATAGAATTGGTAGAACTGGTAGATTTGGTAGAGTTGGTGTTTCGATATCGTTTGTCCATGATCAGAAATCTTATCAGGATTTGATGGCAATCAGATCATATTTCGGTAACATTGAAATGACTAGAGTCCCTACCGACGATTGGGATGAGGTGGAGAAGATTGTTAAGAAAGTCATAAAGAATTGAGCTCTTAAAGCTAAACTAATTACATGATAACTTTTTATTTATATTTATAGTTATAATATAAAATTCTATATACAAAAGATGGATTTCTATGTTAATTAATCCATTTCAAACGATTGTTTAAATCTGATTGGTGCTCTTTTTGAGACAACATCCCAATCGATACAGTCCCAAACATTGTCTAAGTATTGTTGCTTACCGAACACACCGTAATCAAGTAAATAGTTTCTTGAAGATGCATCGATAGCTAACAAAGGCAATAACTTTCTGTCAGAATATAATGTGGCAGCTTCTGCTTCCTCGACAGTTCCTAAAGTCAAGTCACTTGGAAACGATGCCTCACCTTCTAGAGCAGCCAAAGCATCTTCTTCGCTAGCTCTTTCTGTTTCTTCATTGTTTTCTTGGTCTTTGGTAATATGTTTCCTTTCTTGTATTTTCTTCTTCAATGAAGCAATTTTAGCTTGCTTTTGTTGTTTCAACTTTGTTATTTGGCCCGATCTGATAGAATCATCAACTATACCTGCATTATAAGTATTCATGATAGATAATGTACTGTATTTAAAGCCATTTGCATTGGATGAAAATTGATTGTTTCTTAAGGTACTTTCAGAGTAGGTAGCTTGTGCCACTAACCAAACTAAACCGTCACCCTTAACACCTTTAGCGGAGTTTAATAATAAAGTACGGAACTCTGCAATAGACCCAAATGAGTTGACGATCCATTCTCTTAAGTTTGGATCAGTTGGTTCGTTATTGAATGTTTGGCTGATTGACGGAGTCTTCAACAAGTCGCTTGGTTCGCTTTTCTTGATAGCATATTTACCAGCTTCCGATTCATTTGGCTTCAATGATTCCAAGCTAAATTGCAAGTTATGTATTAATGAAGCGTATGAATAAATACCGTACAAATCTGGCTTATTGAATGTTAAGGTAATTAACTCGTTTAAATCTGAAGGTGGATTGATATTGTTTTCTTCCAATAATTGATTCAAGCCTTCCACAAGTTGCTCACCTCTCTTAAACCATAATTCATTAACTGCATTATTTGAATATAACCCCTTGAATTCATCCTTACTTATTTTTAAGTTGTCTAACAAAGGTATGGTTGGTAAAGTATACGAAACAGACCTGAAAGATCCTAACTGCGACGAAAGAAACAGCAGTCTAGGCTTTACCTTGCTAATTAGTCTATACATAGATGCCAGTTACAATATTCGTTCTAGACCTCTGAAAGCTAGTATGTAGATTATAATAATAGGCCTAACAGTTGAAAAATTCGTGAAAATTATTTTATGAGCGGTGATTGGAATTTTGAATCCGACACGCCTACTAAGCACACTCTACTACAAATTGTATATCAATAAAGAACAGACTACCAATGGTAATTTTAATTAACTCATAATAACAAAGTAAGAAATAGTATAAAAACCAAATCACTAAACATAATAGGCGAAAATAACGTTTGAAAGCTAATAATAATAGGGTAATAATAAAATCATTAGTACGAGTTGTCATAAGGGAATTCGTGAAGCAACTGAGGAACTCAGCAAATAAATCTATAATACATCATAAACAAAGAAGAAACCGACAAATTAAAACACAAAGATTAGTCTATAAATTGCTTTATGAATATTATTGTGATATTAATTTCCGAAGGATTTCTCAGATTATTTTCTACCGACTTTCAAACTCTTAACTCTCCTCAACAAAGAGTTACCGGATCCTTCATTGTTTTCGCTATCATATCCACCTGAATCTCTTCTCTCTTCCGATCTGTCGTAATAATCATTGGAGCTTCTTCTGCTACTACTTTCGCTTCCACTATTTTTACGTAATCTTTGAACTAAGGATTTCTTTCTTCCTAAACCACCGCCGTTGACACTTAAATATTGATCATCGGTACTCTTTGGAGCAGGGGCACCGTCAATAAAGGTCGAAGAACCTAAACCAGCAGTAGTTGAACCATGTATTGGTTCGGCCTTCATATTGGAGTCAAAGTTAATCACAGAAGGATTTTGCTTTGGTGTGAACAAGGAGGTAGGAACATCATTGGTCTTTCTATTAGTCTTAATCAATGGGACTGGTCCGTCACTATTCTGGTTTTTGACTGGGGAAGTCTTGCCCGCAATTTGGTCCTGTTCTCCATCGTAGTTACCAAACGCCAAATTCATTTGCTCGTTCTTGTCAATGTTTCCACCGACACCCTTTATTGAGCTATTTGGTCCATCAGCAGGGAATGCCATTACTGGAGCAGCTTTAACATTCTTGTTCCTATGTGGAGTACACGCATCGAAGGGACCATCGTGATGAAACCCTCCACCAAAGAATCCAGTCACGTCCAACTTATCAATAGTATCCAAGTTCTTAGCTTTAACAGGCTCAGGTTGGGATTTCTTCTTGTGACGTCTTTCCTTGTCCCTATGGGAGCGACTATGTCTTCCTGTATTGGTACCACTGTCACTATGTGAGCGGTGACGCCTGGATGACGACTGGTGTCTCGACGAAGACGAACTCAGTTTTTCTCTAGGATAATCTTTTCTTGTTTTCTCAGGTCCCGCTGCCTCTTCGTATGAAGGAGGCAATCCAGAATCTGTCTTAGGAGGACGTGCTGGAGGAGTGTTTGAATTGGTTCTTACTCGTGGAACTGGTGGTGGTTCTCTGCGTTGAACGTATGCGTCAGGTGCTTTGAGGGCTGAAGCAAACGGGTTATTCGACGACATTCTTCTATTAATATTGGTTAGTATTTATGCTTGTATACCTATGTGTTATTAGCTTGGATGTAGCAAAGTGTTTGTTCAATACGGAAAATTCCTTTATCTCGAAGTACCACTGTTGTTGATAAGCAAGCAAAAGTGGTGTTTTAAGTGGAGATGTGTGCACTTTGCTTTTAATTCAAAATAGGCGCAGCCGTGCACAGTTCAAATGCTGACAGAGTGCGTCCACATAGTTTAGATAATAGAACACTAAACAAACTCTTAACTCATCGTTAGTAATAAAAACAAGAGAGATACATACCTATTATCACTGTAGTTCACGCTACTATCACTTCCAGCTCTAACAGTAGTAGGAAAAGTTGGTCTTGGAAGATCGCTGAAATGACCATTCACCGGTCTAGACGCATCATGAGATTCATTCAAATTCAAACTCATATCGACAGGGTTTGACTGACTGTAGAGATCTTCATCATCAGATTCTTCTATAAGCTGTTTGTTCTTTTCCACCCAGTCATCAAACGCTTGGTTTTGGGATGCTGAATGGCCCGATCCGAGCGACGACGCCGACCTATTGACGTGTCTGGGTGGTTCAAAGTGATTTTGTCTGAACGGATTATTGGCAGATAATCGTCTCAATGAATCCGATGACTGATACGAATGATTTGGTTGTTGATACATGGCGACTGTTTTTGTGGGTATCAAATGTGCAGCCTTTAAAGTGAAATCCGAAACTTGAAATCCGAATTCTTTCTATTTTATTAATATCAGCTTTCCTTATGGTTGATTTGTAGTCAATGTACAATAAATCACTATAAGGTCAATTTAAATTGAAGATATAAACTGAATCGTCTTGAAATAAATATCTGATTAATACTGCTAGGTAATTAAAATGCTTTTAAAAACAACTAACGCGTTTTAGGTCAATAATATATATTTAACGTTATAAATTAGACAGTTTCTTTATTCAGAATACGATTTTCTGACGTCTATGCTATAATGTCCTAGTATTTGATCTACGAACAAGCTAAGAAGTGAACTTTTTGAACCTCGCTAACCGCTTAGTGATGAAATTTTGAAGCGAAATTCGAACAATTGCGCTTCACAATTACACGACCATTATTTGGCGTCTACTACACCAAGTACGCTGGATTAGGTATAAATACTTGTATTGTCACAGAAGAGAAATGAAAATAAATAAATAATGTCACAGTAAATAGTTAGATACAATAAGCCAGAAAATAGATTATTAGGGGCGTCCTGGTTATACTGGATGTTGTGCGAATGATATGTGTTCTGTAGTTACCGAAGGCATAGAGGATGGTTACATCTCTCATGTTAACCGTGTCACATAAAACAATAAAATGTATAAGTCTAAAAAGAGCTCCAGGTCCAGTCAGACGGCACACTTATAACCGACGATTTTCTATGTGTATCCGCAAGTGAGCTATCGATAATTGCATTATTGATCACAGACGCATCGTTAGTCGAAGATATGTTAGTGCCTGCGGCAGTGGCGGAGGTGGCGTTGTGAGAAACAATGTCGGGATGCGTGGAATTAGAGTCGGTCTGGGAGGAACTTGCGGCTTCTTTAGGGGTATCTTGAGAAGTCTCGTCAGGTTGGAAGATATTATGTGGTATGGAACCAGAACTGTTGCTGATGTATGGATTTTCAATGAAAATAAATGGGAGCTTAAAATTCTTGATTTTGTTTTCGCTTAGGAAATTCGACAAGTTGGCATTGACATTGGTAACAAGCATCTGATAGTTGTGACCGCAGTCTCTGCAAACCTTGCAGTTGCGAAACAAGTCTGTAGGCGAGCGAATCTTTGGATTCGACTTCAAATTAGTGTATATGGGAATGACAAATCGAGCGTTTGCATCTAGCACTGTCGCATGCTTGATCTCACCACTATTACGAGCTGCCGATGGTCTATATTCTTCATCTTGGTCCGCAATATTCTTTTGCCATAGACACTCAGAGCAGAAAATTTGACCACAGGACCTGCAATGATGTCTTCTTTTACGTTGAGGCGAAAAAAAATTGCCAAAAGCCTCGAAACATTTCATACAATGTGATGTAAAGCTGTTGGGTTTCCAATGTTCATGCGTAGGATCTGCTGGTTGGTGGCTTTCATATTCCGAAGAAGAACCTTCACAGTCAATCGAAATCGAATAGTTCATTTTTTTGGGAGAAGTTTCGACCGAGCACGGCACCTTTGGCGACAGTGATGACGAGTTAGGTGCCAGGCTTTGTGGTCTCAATACTGCTGGCATACATAGAGGTTTCTTCAATCGATATACTTGTTGAAGATCGGTCCCCTCGACTCCCGATAAATGACTAGCAGATATCAGAGCACGGTGCTTTATACGATTGATCTTCAGGTTATCGTTCCGTTCCTGGGATGTCAAATTATTGTTTAGGTTGTTCAAGGCATTTACCAAGCTCGTTTGCTGCAAGTCTTCGTCTGGAGATGGCAGCTGCATATCTGAACTCAAATTCTTCAAATTTGTGTTGGTATTGGAATTAGACGTATTATTCGAATTCGAATTCGAACTTGACACACTACGGTTCCTTTCATAGATATAGTTATTAGTGGTGTAGCTCAATATCGTGTTATCTGGCATATCGCTGGCCACCTCAAACGGTGTCGAACACCTCCTGATCGGTTGTGATAAATCAAAGTTAGCAGGAATATAAGAGTCATCCTGCGATATTTCGTCTATCCTGTCCTCCTTTAGATTCCATAATCCTCCAGTTTCCCTTCTCAGCGTCCGTGCCACGAATGATTCCTCATTATCAGTATTCCGATCCTTAAATGAGCCCCGCGTGATGCTACTCATTCTTGGTGCCCTTATCTGCTCGTCATAGTTGATGTTGTTATATCCTTCATTTTCATTGTTATTTCGGTTATTTGTAGCGCCATCAACCGAGATTGGTCTGTTCGATGAGTGAGGTATTATTTCTGATATTACTGAGTGAATACTGGACTTATTGAGGTTTTTCACAAGCGGCTTTTTCTTGAACGAAAAAGCTTCAAACTGCCCTGAGTCGTCCAGCTTCTCAGTCATTTATAACGGTCTATCTACTTGGTATATAGTTTTTATGGATTAATTAATCCTTGATTATTCCCTGCAAGATATATTTATCAGTAGGTCGTGTATATTAGTACTCACATTTTGCAGTTGATTTCTTTTTTTTAATTGGTCGATAACCAATTACCGAGATTACAATGCAAATACTATTTGGTATCTGCCGAACAATACGACATACTTGTATTCCTTGCATGCAAGCAAGCCTAAGTCGAGTTGTCGTCCATGGATAAAGGTGTCCATCTAGGTGAACTACAGTCGGATTTTGTATACAGTATAAGAATTTGGTATTACTAACTAGCTAGCTTCATTATTAATACGTAACAAAAATTACTCTATTATTTTCCTCGGGTTATGCCCTTAATCTTTCAAGACAACGTATAATGCATGTAAAATAGCTGGGAACCAGATAAAACAACATAAAATAATATTAATTAAAAGAGCTTGACCAGCTCCTTCTCTCATGAAAACCGCTAATGGAGGTAAGAATAAGGCTAAAATTTTAATAAATTAGTATTTGAACGAACTTGAAGAAGCCATTAACAGGCCACATAGATTCCTTGGAATTCATCGAAAGTACCTTGTTTCGAAATTACCTTTAAACAAAGGTATTTGAGCAAGCGTAATTTTCGATTGAATAAGCCAAAATTTCACGTATCTACATACCAAGAATGATAGCAATGATTTTTTCGGAGTTCATATTTGATAAGTCAACTGAGCAGATTTAACGATATGTCTAGTAATAACAAGTCAATTGTATATAGAATTTATTATGATACAAATTATTGTAGGAAATAGGGAGGCCGTTCACTCATTTATATATTTTGTTTTTCTATCATTCGTTTTGTGCGAGTTGTGAATTTTGTGACTAGGCGCTTTGAGGGCATATTGACGTTGAAATACTAATACGTTTACTAAGCGCTGAATAAGTCAAAAGACAGATAGTACTTACACACGATCATACTCCAGTAATACGAAAAAAGGCGATGCAGCGTATCATGGGTTTTTAGCTTATTTCTACGGATATTACGGTCAATGGGACAAAAAACCGTCATTTCTAAATTTCTCCTATTACTTAAGCGCTCGTAATAATACGGGGGAAAAATAAAAGCTTGTTCCGGTAGATT